AATAACTAATAATATCCATTTAAATGGTACCCAATAATCTTTAACCTTATAAACGTAAACGTAATGTTTAAACATAATGCGGTAATCCCTTTCTGCTGCATTTGACATTCGCCTTATACGGAGATGAGTCGTAAAACATCTATTTTAAATGGGTTTCTTTATTTGAGTAGGTAATTCGGCATTGTAGGAATTCTCAACGAATGTGGGCAGCACTTACCATGAGGTATTAAACAAAATAGATGAAAATGATAACAAATTTTGAAATCTAACTTACCTACACTCTGTAACTTTTTAATATTTAAATACCAATATTGGTTTACAGAAAGGGAGCTTCGGTAATATTAGACATTAATAATAACTATGTTTTTATAATTGTGAATTATATTCATGTAATAGTCAAAGCATTGTCAATCCTCGTATTTATTTTTAACTACATTTGTGCCTAAAGTTTGTAAAATACATAAATAAACGATATGTTATTTTCTTTGAGTATCGAAATGCATAATAACAATGTACTTAATATTTATTTATTGTTGGGAAGTTTGCCGAAATAATAACTGTTTATCAGTATTGCGGAATTAATTATCATTGTATAGATTTCAGAACATACATACCCTTTTCCTAAAAAGATACCTTAAGAACTAAGCAATACTATTATGATTATGTCAGACATATTAATATAGAAATATTAAAGAAAACAATATGATTCTCGAGTAAACATACTTAGATATATTTAACAAAGTCTGACGGACTGGCAGGCTAACTAGCTGACTGGATTTTAAGGCACACCGCTTTACTGGTTGCGGGTTCGATTCCCTGAAGAGTAGAAACATTTACAAAATAAATGTATTTATCTGTAAATTTATTAGTAGAAACCATAATACCAACTATGCTCAGCGTGGGACTAATGGCGCTATGTGAATTGTCTTGGGTTATCATAATTATAAAGTAGCTAGTAAAATAATATTAATGTGTAAGTCATAAATTTAGTGCTACTAATTAAAACTACCGATACAGATAAATATATAGATAGACTAAAATATATAGTTTTAGGCCAGAATAGGCTTTTAGTTCGACCACAGATAATATATGTTCTTAAGCCGTAAGCCCTTATAGTTACTTATATCATAGAATAAATATTTAGTTAATAATATAATAATATATTTATATAATATTATTACTTTTGCTACATAGTGATTCTACATTGCCAATTCTACTCTAAGTTACTATATGTACTTACATCGTTCATTTATCGCAAATGCTAAGGTCGCCAGGGCTTGACGGCGGACTGCATAGCATCACGAGAGGTGAAGAGCACACCAATCACATCATTGAGCTTGCGCCTTTGTTTTGTCCGTATCATTTAATTTATATAAGTATTTAATACCTCATGATATATATGTATAGGCGTCTGCGTAGAGTCAGTATTCACTTCATGCGTGAAACGCTCTAAAATTAGGTACTCAATGTTTTAAAACAACCATTTCGTTTTGAATCATTCATGTAAATAAACAACGACAATCAGTATTAGGTCAAATTATTGAGAATAAATCTTATAAAACTTGTTCATTTGTAACATTGCACAATCAATACGACATGGTTAGCAATCGTGTGGGTTAAGTCTTCCAATAAACCAATGTGATACCTATAAAAATCAAGGACAATTAGCCATCCGACGCGAGTAATCTGTCTTTCGTCGATTTATGGTTCTATTAGCAATGAAATGGCTATTCAAACTCTATTTAAATTTCATGAAGTATTGATGTCTACATTTAAATAAATTAATTCACCATATTTGGATTTTATTTAGTACGTAGAAGCATTGTTTACCATAAAATTCAATAGTTTAGGCTAATTTGATAATACATGAAGGTAAAATACACAAACTTATCACTACTTCTCAGTAATGTAAGTTGGGAACAAACAAGTATGGTATTTATCCGTATTGGTAAAATCCGTACATACATATGTATATCACATATCCTCGCTAGCTTCCATCATTAACACGGGCTACGGGGGCATGGAGTAATTACAGGTGGGGCCAAATCATTGTCAAAACTTGGTACCCAACATGGGACGTGTCTACATTTCTCTGAAAATATTTCAATTATTATAACATGACTGTTAGAGAGCCCTATCGCGTGTCTTGCAATAATTTGGGTTATTTATTATAAAGATATATTTCCATGATATTAGTCAGCCATTGAAGTTGATACTCAATGGTTTGGTGTCGATCTTGTGACTTTGGGAGTTGTAAGTTGTGGTAGCAAATCGCTAGCCCATGCCACAAATGCTAACAAAATAAAATAAATCGCGGAACAACTAATTTAGACACTTTTTTTAATGCATTTTTTACTAATGTACATATATTCTGAATTTAATCATTATCGTCTATAAAATAGAGAAAAATATTCGATACTTGAATATTCAGTAGATGATTACAATAATTTGATAAGTTTAAATGTAAAGTTGAATTTTATCTTGTATTATATGATTTTTTTATTTAAATTATTCTTCTAATATATTATTAATGTTTATGGCACAGACTGTACCTACATGAAAATAATGCAATATATATATTCTTTACGCTATAGAAGTAGAAGCCCTTTGCCTTTTTGCACTTGGATGTCTTAACGTACATCGTGATGAGGTCCATGAACATTGACAAAATAAATAGTATCTGACAACTGCAACAAGTGATTTTGTGACTACAAGGCATAACTTTTTTGTTGTATTGGAATAAAATAGTCACTAAATTTTAAGTGAGGCTTACATTAATAAATTTGTGAAAACAGCATCCAAATCCTGAGATAATACATAAATAAATAACTATTTTTTGGGTTCTATTGCGGTAACAAAATTCCCAATATCAGTTTTTCTCAGATCTTCTAGGTACAGACAGCGATCAATTACATATTTATCATAATATATTTATACATACCTCGTACGTGGTACAAAAAAATGTCAAATTTCAGTTTAGATTCAATCGCGATAGAGGTAGAAATTGTTATATATGTAAATTTATTAAATTAGTTTTCATTTCAGTTTTTAAGGCATCCCTATGTATAATACCTCTCTAGCAAACTTAATTACATTTATTTCTAAGATTTGGTTTTAAGACAACTTCAAGATAATAATTTCTCAGTTGTCCGAAATCGTAATGGCGGCAAAAAATATTTTATGATATCTATAAATATGTATAAGGTAGAGTGAATCATGTCTAGAGTCTAGGAGACTAAAACTAAAATGATGCAATAAGTTTTTTTTGCTGTATTGAATCTATAAGTATGTATGTATATGTCTGCTAAACTCATCATCTTTCCATTTGTATAACAAAATAAATATATCTATAAAAAACTTTTCTCTTTTATATTAATACAATTTTCATTAATCTTAAGTAGTGATTATTGAGGATGAAGATTATGTTCTAACGACCATTTCTATGTATTGAATAATCTTGTTCTAAGCTTGTTTATTTCGCTTATTAAATCAAATAGAGATGCATTTTTTATATATGGCACATATCTAATAACTAAATTATTCGTATTATTCGTAAAAGCTATTGTTTTTGCCAATGTTTATTTTGTAGAAAAAAATTAAACATATACGAAAATATGTAACAATGTCTTGACCAATAATGATAAATACCTTGCCCTCAAAATGTATTTCAAACACGTTTAACGTTGATGTCATATTTCAGCATTTTTTAAACTAAATTAAACATGCATTCTACACGCGCTATAATGTTTTTTTAGTACTGTTTAATAAACAACCTCCTTAGACTGTGTCAGTATAGTTGAGTCCAGATACAACTAATAAATCACATAAGGTGATATGCAGGTTCTCACTAAGAAGCACTCCTACGGTGTTATTCATAAAACTTAAGAAGCCTTTATAAGCCCACTATAGCAGTGCTATAAAGGCTTTACAAAAATCTATATTTATAAACGCTCAATAAAGCTCTTATAACTGTTCATTAGCAATCAGTTCTATAAACCCTCTATAAACCTATGATAAACCTCTGATAGTGAAAAACGTTATTCATAAAGGCTCTATAGCGGTCCGATAAAGTCAAAACGTCAAATAGCGAGCTTATAAAGTTAACAGAGCCGACTCTCTACTTTAGCGGCATTTTAACCTCAAAATTTTGAAATAATTATTGCCTTAATTAATAAAATGGAAGCTATTACGACTATTTCTACAATTAATTTAATTGATATGTGAAGAAATCGACAAAGGAAAACATTTAAAAAATAAGTCAATCCATTTCCTTTATCTGATAAGTGCTTTAAATATAAATATAGATTTAATAAAACTACTGCTCGATATATAATTTCCTTGGTGTACGATCAATTAACTGTTTTGAGGTGTTGGGGACGAAAAGAGGTAAGTTTTTTTACAAAACATTCAGCAATCATATATGTAGGTTTAGATATACTCAAATAATTTATAACATAGGTACTATGTAGCCCATTTAATAATGTAAGTTTTCCTACAATTCAAACTCATAATTAATCTTGATATCTTTCATTTCATAGGTTCAGGATGATTATGGTGATCTTCATGGACTCAGTCAACCTACAGTTAGCAGGATATGTAGTAGGGTGGCAAAGGCAATTGCACAGCTTTCTTCCACTTTAATAAAAATGCCAGAAACTGTCACAGAGGAACTGTCTATTATGACAAATTTTGAAAGTCTGGCTGGTTTTCCAGGGGTTACAGGGGCTATAGATTGTACCCATATTAAAATTAAAAAAACAGGTGGTAATGCAGCCCAATACTACATAAATAGGAAAGGATATTATTCTTTGAATTAGAAAATAAAGCGGTCTGTTAAGCCGCTAGACCACTGAGGCGAAGACTGATGCGACCATAGATTAAACATTTTATCGTTATCATAAATTAAAATACCCAAGGCAGTGTCCAGTACAGTATTCCTTGCATAGATATATAAAAAGTATATGATAAAATAAGTATATTTATTTACAATTGCACATTAACATCGTAAAATCAAATGAGTATTATTTTAATATAACATTAAAAGTTGCAATCTAGATACATCTAAATCAACATTAAAGGCGGTGAGATGAGATTCATAGGTTACTTTATTTTCTAGGGGCATTTCTGGCTATGTAGTCCAAGGCACGAGCGATCTGTGGGGGCAATGGAGGAGGAGTGGGGATAGCGTCACCCTGTAATGAGAAATAATTACAAATTAATTATTAGTGTTCCAACATAAAATTACCAATTCAAGTAGGGGCTCAGAATACAATACAGGATTCATTGTAAAGGTTATTATTAGAAAGACAGAATATTATAATAATTATAAGATTTTTTTTGTACCACTTTTATGTAGTACAAAATTGATAATCTAAAAATAATTTACTTTTTCATACTAAATTAGTCACGTGACTGTACAGTTTGTATGAAGATTTTGAAAACATTTTCCAATTCACTGTTTAGTTCTCTTGGATTTTTTTTCATACTTCATGAATCTTTCGCTTACAGCACAGTATATAATTTACATCTCACTTCTTCCAGAATATTCTTGTAAGTACAAAAATATAAGAGGCTTAAGTATTGCGTATAATTAATATATATATATGATTACATAAAACAATATAGATACGGATCATATTACTTTATATGTACTGGCCTTAATGAGGTGCAGGTACTTGCTACAATATGAATATCTGTTTGCTTTATTCTAACGTCGTTCATATTTCTATGACTGAATATTTTTCTCTGATAATATTATTTTTGACATGTCAACTAACCTGGGGCTGGTATCCATTCTCGTCAGCTACGTAAGTGATAGAGACGACTTGTCCTTCAGGCGAAGTCCATGAGAATGAACCCTGAGCTACATCAGGGGCTACTGGAGGATTACCACCAAAGTTGCGGGGTGTGCCTTGTGCCTGAGCAGCGATTCCATTGTCAGTTTCGTAACTGGAAATTAAGTAAAACTTTTATTTATAAACTATATATTTGTATTCACATCAATTTGTTATTGATGTGATTATTTCCACATCACATGCTATTGGTGAAGATTATCAATTGGCATTTAATATGATAAGTTATATGTAAAATTACACCAATACTTTCTAAAATGAATAAATGTTTTTTTTACAAAATAATAAAATTGTCATAATTAAACATGTTTGTTATTTGAGTAATCAAGGACTCGTAATACGTAAGTATAGTGTGAGCAAAACTTCTTACATAAATAATTTCGCTGAAACTTGTGCTTATAGGACTTATAAGTACTATTCATTAGTAAATTTTCAAAGTTTTAATATATAAACTTGAAAATTTAGCTTCAAGAATTATTAAAAAATATTAAATTTGATTAGTATTTCTTAGAGTAAACACAGTATTTTTTTTATTATCTGTAACGTACATAAACTTTTAGATAATTGAAATTATTCATTATCAAAAAAATACATAATAGAATTAGCCCAATATTAAAACCAATTCAATAACGATTTCAATCTGAATGGTGTTACAAACATAAAAATATGTAACCCAGATGGATTTAAGTAAGTACCTGCTTAAAACCTTTCAAAGATAACAATCAGGTAAAGGGCCAACCTGATTATAACTTGCCTAACCCTATTTTAGTGTATACATATATAGTACAATATAAATATCTGCAAGACTAAACATTTTTCGTACAAATCTGCAACACATTATTGGTGTTTTTTTTTACAGAAAATAAATGTGCAGATAGTATGATTTTTATCTATTTTAGAATCTCTTACTCACCCATTCTTGTTAACAAGTAGTTTACACATTTTTAGAAGTGCAGTAAGTAACTTTACTGGATAACGTCAATCAAAATAAAAAAGTGGAGTGTTGTCTCCAGTGCACCAGAAGCTGGTAAGCTTGCTTACCATCAGAGAAGTCGTATGGTTGATGATTGATTCTGGACACTTGTATACCCCGATAGATAATTATATTATAATATAAGGGAAACAAAAATACTAACACGTAGTTGTAAGAGCCATCGGGGCTGATGTCACTCTCGGATCTTAGGATGGAAGCAGAACGGGCATCAGATACAACTCTTGCGGCAGCGCGTGCTGGCTGGATTGGGGCTGGTGCAGCCACGGGAGTATAGCGGGCTGGACTCGGTCTGAATTGTTGGCTACCAAAGCGATTGAACTGAGCATTGGACACTGCCACCACACACGCTAACACGACGACCTGTCAAAATAAATGAGGATTTTAAAGGAAAAATTGACAAATATTTTTTTTTCTTATTAAAGATTATAAAAAATAATCTTATACGATTTTTATTAGAGCTATTTTTATTATATTAAGTCCCAATTATACTTACGGTAAATTTCATTTTGAATAGTTTAGCTAGCTACGTCGAAATAGTTCGAATGCGGATAAAGAATCGGCGCATGCTTATATATGAATCATGGATCCACCCACTTTAATCTGTAACTGCAACATTTAAATGATGTACCATCGAGATTGATATTGTACTCAAATATCACTTGTACAATATTTTCGATATAAATACAAAAAAAAATCATCCAGAACAATTAATATTATTTAATTACCCACTAACATTTCGATCTATTTACATTTTTAAAAGTTATAGTGCATTCATAGTATGTAACATTTATAAAAACTGTTACATTTTTTTTTTAATTGAAAGGTTACTTGTTTTATTTCTTCGTATAAAAAAATATTACACAATAGTAATAATACTAGGAAAAAATTATGTAAGTTCTTTTTTGTTATTTTTGTAATACAATTTATTCATTAAAATTATATTTAGAATGGTAACGAAAATTAAATATTATTATACACCGTTTTTTATATTTAGTCCGTGACAAATTTTAGATCTATTTAAACATTTCAACAAGTTCACGATTGTGTAAGCCCTTTTAAATGTCATCGTAACCTTACTGAGTTAGATCTCAATAGTTTTATATTCGTAATGTGGTTCATTAAATTGACCTCCTAATATTATTGTAAGTGCTTTAGCAGTGTTTAGTTGTTTAGCGGTTAAGTTTCACAGAACAAATTCACCCGCTGTTTCAACCTTGATCTTTATAACAAAGCTTCCGGAAAAATGTATTGTTCACATTCTGGGTTGGTAATACAAAAGTTTTCGGATTAATAATAAAGAGTAATCCATTATACAATACCAGTATAACTATTATGCTGTCCGTGTTACGTCTCAAGGGTTGTCACAAGGTCTAGTCGATTGTTTATATTGACCCAGGTCACATTTAACTCATTCATTAATGAATGCGATTTCTATGTGCATCCACTAATCGAATCACTTCATTCGACTACAAAAAGGAAAATGTTCTCATGTTCATGACTCTTATATATTTTTTTACACTTAATTCTGTGTATGTTTTTGAGAAAGTAGTGTGGATTGTACTTATTTAGTTAGGATAGATTTTAACAGTTATTATTATACTGTATAATAAGTTTATTTAATGACTATGAATGACTATAACTACCTGATTACAGATCTTATCAGAGAGAATATAAGCGAATTTGAATACATTTTCTGGACTAATGACATCTATGTTCTTTGAGAATACACTCCTACTCAATCCTTATGTACACATATATTCTCATTTATCAGAAGCTTGTGACTATTGGCATCCACCGCCTGTAATGATCAAGCTATTTGAATTTCATTTTGAGTAATCATTTAAACAATTAAGTTTTGACATTATATTTGTCATTCATAAATCCCGTAACATATAATAAAATTTATTAAACACATCATAATAATAGAAGATCATTAGTTTTTATAAGGATTAGGTTTTTAGAACGTCATTAAATTGATTAAAAAACTAATGAAAAATTTTCTCTCCAAAAATAAGATACTTATAATTCCTTGTGGCATGTACTGGTAATTTGGTATAGTTCTGCGTAATTTTAATATTATTTTTCATATTACAACACGTCTTAACTAATAGAGTATTATATATTTATTTGTTATATCATGAATGTATATATTTCCTTTGTTTTAGATTATTAACAATGTCGAATTATTTAGAATACCGCACCCACTGATTCTTATACAAACAGTGTCTGTTCCAACCTTGACATTGGCTAAATCTTCAAACAACAATATAGCTATAGTACAAAAAAAGGGAATATTATTGTATTATTCATAAAAGTGGTATGGCTATCTAATAATGGAAATTAATACATTATTTAAGTTTATGTCAAGAGCAAGCATGTACGTATCAGTTAACATTTTTACCATTCATGTTTATTTTATTAATCTTACATTTAAAATATATTAATCGAATTAAAATGTAATAAATAACTAAATAGTGTGTCCATCCTCAAAGCATTGAATAATTGCAAGGTCTGGGACAATGATATTCGTAGAATAAATATGAATTATTGGGAAATTATTATAGATTTATGCGAAGTGTTATCGAGTAGCTTGTGTCAGCATGTAACTAATTTCATAAATAAAATATTTTGAATTAGTCTTGGTAACCTTATGTATTAATAATGGAAGTTAACGATAGATAATCGGGGGTCAAAGAAAAGAGAACTCAGTAATATCTACTTCTATAAATACAGATACCTATTGTACAAAATGAAAGAAACTATTCAAATACCTTCTATTAAATTAAAATACTTTCTCAGCATTTATAGCAGGATGACGGTAAAGTAAAGGTGATATTTAAACTGCAATGTTTAAAATTGGTCTTTGAAAATAAAAAATATTGTTGAATAAAAGTGAATTTATACGTAACGAACTTGGTGAAAAAAAACTTCCTAAGGGTTTAGATTAAATATAGCAACGAGAAAGAGATTACAAAACAAAGAGAAAAACAAAATGGATACTTTTTAAATTGTGTATCTAAACGAAACTTTTATATTTTCATAAAAACCCTTATTATATGAAATTTAAAAATTAACTCATCATCTCATAAATGGTCTCTAGTCTAGTCCAATCTAGTCTAGTTACAATCATAAACTTTACTAATGTATTTATAAAACACCCATACTGACAAACAAATTTGCTCCAGAATATTACATAGTTTATGTCGAGCCCGCGATTATCAGAAACTAATGCAGAGATAATAGCTAAACTATAAAGCTTATCAAAATTTAAATAATTGTAATAGTAATCATAAATGACAATGAGTTTCTTTCATTAGCTAATAAGAGGTAAACAATTGATTACTTAAAAACATCCAACTCCAATTGAATAAAATTATATGTAATAAGGAATTTGCGATTGAGAATCGGTTTCAAGTGATAAATTTTTATCTTTAATAATAGATATTGATGTGTTTCTTTACTTACATCATCAATCAATATCCATTATTAGTATTTGATTTTGTAAGTACCTGAATAATATTATGAAATTTTTATTAACACAGGAATACAGTTTAAAGAGAAGTATGTAAGTAAAAATAAATGACAAGATAATGACTAAAAATACAATAAAAAATTAGGATAGGAAAAGAAATATTTAAATGATTGTGACATATCAATGTGAGAAACATAAATAAAATTATACTAATCATTAAACTGGTTCTGAATTTTGGTTTCCATTTACTGAAAATGTAGTTCTCCAGATGCCTTTGTTTATACACACGTACATGCAAGCCTGTTATGGCATGACTGTAACCTTTTTTACAGTAAATATCATAAGTTTTACAATAAGTAAATAAGAAAATAAAACATTACAGTATACCAATACTAATCCAAGCAAAATAAAACAATTGTAACAAGATACAAAGGAATTTACGAGGTATTCCAAGCGATTATACCAAGCCATTTGGTTAACGTGATAATACTAAAGTATACGAGAGAAATATTATACTACATATGACACGTGACAGAAAAGGAGTGTTAGAGGATAATAATTATTATAAAAAAATACATTTACGTCTGCTATACTTTTTAATTGTTAAACTATTAATGACAATGACAATTAATCTTATCTTAATAATATAGCATTTCAGTGCTGCATATATTTTAGTATTACAAATACTATTATTCAAATCATTTCATGTCTTTCAAGTTACGTTTGAGAAATTAGCTAGACATTAACTGATAGACAAATTGTTGATAATAATAATTCAATATTTCAGAGTTTGTCTACATTTGACAGGTATTCATTATTTTGAATAGTACAAATATTTTAATAGAATTTCTATTTATGGTATAGTCTCAAATTAAAATATTGAAATTAATAATACCTACATTTAAATAGATATAATTACTAGATTTCAATACAACTGAAAATATAAGTGCTTCGTAGACAATATTTAGTATATCTGTCTGGCCTTTTTTAATTGCATGTATTGCTGATACGATTGTCTTAAAGTATCTATACTTTAAGAGAAAAGAGAAGCCAGAAACTGAAATACCATCATGATCATCTGGATGAATGGCGGTCTTCCACAGTGCGGTTTTCTAGAAACTTTTTGCCACGCACAACCACATTGTGGAATCACCTTCCAGCAGTGATATTTCCGAAACGATACGATATTGAAACCTTCAAGAAAAGAGCTTATTCCTTTTTAAAAGGCCCGCAACGTACTTGCAATTCCCCTGGTGTTACGGGTGCTCATGGACGGCGTTAATCACTTACCATCAAGTGAGTAGCATGCTCGGTTGTCCCCTGTGTTATAAAAAGAAAAGGTAATCGTGTTCCATACTGTACATTGACCATTGGACTGTAAATATCTGAATACTCTTCATATATATTGTTAATATATTGAATATTTAGATGCCATAAGTGTACTAAAAAAATAATATTCTTTTTGAAAAGATACAACTTGTATGTCTGTGTTATTGCAAAGCGCCTAGATAACATTATAGATTTCATTTTATCATATATATTTTGTTAGTATATTCTTTAGCAGGCGCCTCATATTTAGAAATTTAAATACAATGTAGCTATATATACATATATACATTCCGACACAGCAACTAATAGTTAATATTCTTTATAATATTAATTAAACACTGACTTAATTCAGCGCAGTAAAAACATCATATTTTATTTTTTAAAATAGGAGAAGATTCTCAATGCATATATTTTTAAATATTAATATTATGTGTTTAGTATGTAGGTATATCAAATAGTTTACGAATAAAATATAATATGTTATCCGGTTATTAATGAATCATTAACTAATTACATATCAATCATCTATATAAATTAGACACCAATAAACATATTCAATTATAGGATAAAAACATATTAATTTACATAATAAGCTTAACGTTTATACGATCCATCAAACATTTCATACAATTAGACTACTTATTATTTTATACTCGTATGTTATAATGGCCTATAAGTAGGTAGCCAGATAAATTTCATAATAGGTATTCAATAGAATGCTGTGTGATTGATGATATCGTCATCATAATGCTATTTGCATTTTTTCTATATAAAATATTTCTTAAATAATTCTTATAACACATACAATTCATTATTACTATTATAAAGTAGATACATACCTATGAGAAAATACAACTACGGTGCCGACAACTCGACACTGTCACCCATTGTATTGTAGGTACACGGAAATATGGTTGCTGCAACAGTTTACCATCATATAGGTCATAAAAACATAAACGTCATTGCAAAAAATAAAACATACATACATGTTCTTAGGTAGATTTGAAAGTATTTTTAAATTTTGTGTTGTATTCAAGTGGTTAGGTCCTAATGTATGTATGTATGTAGGCTATTACAGTTAAGAAAGAGTAAAAATTATTTGAAGTAGTATTAAGTTGGTAAGTTGGTTGATAAGAATAATATAAGATTTAGTTTGCAAAATAAATATATTAATAGAAAATTTTGCAATTTAGATATAAAATAGAAATACAATAAAATTAGGATCTGATCTCATGTAAATTTATTACACACTTCCATGTTAATTCATTGACATCACCCTATTGATATAAACTTGTTCCATGTAAAATATATTGTATTAATATGTATAAACCTAATGGTAAGATTTTTTAACTTTAAACTTCAGGTTGAAGGTTGTAATTTACGACATAGGTAATAGGCAAAATCTTTCAATTTCATCATGATCGATGCTGTCAGCTGCATTAGCTGTCTATTAATTTACAACGACGAGAGTTTACGATCTACAACCGCGCTTAGGAGTGCGGTTAGGTATAATAATTCACAATAAATTAACCTTTGTACAATACTTTCATACTAGGATTAGGAAATACATTTATGTGTAAAACATATGCGATCTTTCTATACTGAGGAGATAAAACCCATCGCTCCTAAGAATATCTTTCAATTCTTGTCCCTGACGGGTCTAGGTAGCGAATTCTGGAAAAGGGTGAGAAAACATAGGTCACAGGACCATAGGACAGATTGCTACAGGTCCAAAGTACCTGAAAATAACCCTAAACCTCCAATAAAAAATAAAATGTGATCTTCTAAACCGAAGGGTTTAAAGATAACTATGGTGTGGAAAATATGTAATTTTTACTTATTTTTATAATTTTATTATTCTATAACATTAATTAAATATATAACAACAGATGAATATATTTATATAAATAAATATATTCATCCGTTGTTATACTGACGTTACTTTCGATGATTTAAATATGCTATTTCTGTAAATATGCCATTTATTTCAATACTAGCTGGCTACTCCTAATACTAATATTGTAGAAAGCATGTATCGTTACAAATCCACGTATTCATATACATACTAGAATACCACATTAAAATCAATTAAATTTGTCTAAATTATCGTATTGCAAATGCATATTGAGTTAGAACTTGATACATTTTATTACACGTTTAAAATAATTAAAAAGTAGTATAGTATCTATATTCGACAAAATTTACACAAAACAATAAAAAGAAGTAACGTTTAGTAGGAATATAAACATTATTTATTTAAGCAATCCATTAAAGTAATAATATTTTTTATGACATTTTTAGAACACGTGACATTGTTAATAGTTATATAATTAAATATCGATTTAACACTTCATTAAACTCTATGTAGAAATTTGACAAAACATTTGTCATCATATTCTTGGTCTCGAATACAAAGGCGGACGTAGACTATCTTTTAACTAAAAAAATATCAGACGATGTTTCATATACTAACTACAAACCAATAAATAAATAAGCCATATTGAACGTTCTATGTGAATATATTACGTCTTGAGTTGTCCTCAGGGAACTGTACTTACACACTAAAAAGAACTTTACCAAATAATTCCACTTTCAACAAACAACGGTGACTTTAGTAACCAGACATTGGTGGACAATCGCAATTATTACTTGATCGATGGAATTCGTAATGAAAGAATATAAATTTGAATTATTTCTAGTCTGACCATAGGTCATCATGTTTATGATACAAAATTGGGGAAAATAAATGAAGATATGTAATATTTGCTAAAAGTACCATCGTATTCCATTATATTCCAAATATTTATATAAAAAATGTTAGAACGGCGGACAAGTGTGTTCAGTGCTAACAACATTTTGCCATAAAAGAAGGCGACAAAAACAAGTGATTCGCAAAAGGCAATTTTTTAATGTGATACATTGAGTTCGGGTACAATAATTCCTGTACTTTTATTTTATATTTATTTATTTCAAAACACCCAATTTAATTGCAAAAGAGAATTAAAAGCATTGCTTTTGATTGAATTGAATATAGTCTAATATATAGTATATGTGCCAGTACATTATAAATTAAGTACATGATAAGGTATCATAGATAGAAAAATTAAATCTGCTTGTTTTAATTGTAGCTAGAAATGGTGTGACATTGTTTTCTTAATCGAGAGATCAAAGGAATGTTGACAAATTTTGTTCTTACTCCGTCACTACACTGTTAAAAGCATATATACGAGAAATTCCCTACAAAGTACGTGGATTCAAATTTGACCTACTATTTTTTTCTGTCATTAATTTTGTTTCAATGATTATTTTTTTACAGAGTGTACGTATATATGTTTTATGCTGCATATATTCGCATAACTAATATGAAAAAATGTGTTTTATACATATCCTATTAGACTATGCGATGCTTGCTTATAGACTATATATGGTAGTATAACCTGTCTAAGCAGACAAAATTGACTAGCCACTACAAGTTTAGAAATAATATTAACATTAAAATTGATTTGAATGTATAATGACGTAATAATACCCTATTAAGGCTTGTAATCTATCTTCATCACTTTATGTAAAGAATATCTGTGGGTTGCAATAGGTACTTACATAGCGTGAAAAGTTGTAGGAGGAGAAGGCTAATGTTTAAAGATATGGTTATGATTTAACGATAATAAAACTGCAAACAGCAGTATGTTATGTCATATAGTTTTCTTTTATATTAACTCATTTTGTATTAAGAATGTGGTTAGATGCAATAAAGAATTCGCTTATCGTCATTATAAAAATAAATTTATTAATTTCATATTTGTCTATTGTAATTTTACACACAGTTTTCAATAAAAATAATTGCTAATCTATAAATCACATTTAGGTACAGGTATTCAGATACATTTAATATATAGACCTAACTAGGCTTTTATAGACACTCTTTACTTCCGTGGTGCGTTTTTTGCGATGTACTCGAGAGCACGAGCGATTTGTGCTGGAACTGGTGGGGGAGTGGGGATAGCGTTGCCCTGAAAGAAAATTTAAGCAAAAAAAAATGGTTAATGATTATAGTAATACATATCCAAATACTATGCAATAAATTGAATAGTAGAGCCTTGTATATAAATAGTTACGGATAAAACGAGACTTTTTATTTATTTCTAAAATCGGTTATGATACACCTTAATGATGAACTGTGTCTCTATAACTATTTCTAATACGTTGCACATTGACCATTTTAAGATTAATACGTTTCAACAAATTCAAATTTTGAATTAGTCGGCTGACTTACTTTTAAAGAGTAAAAAAGAAGAACAAATATGTCGTATATTTTAAAGTTACACAATAACTCACCTGTGGCTGGTAGCCATTTTCATCGGCGACGTAGCTGATAGCGATCTGTTCTCCCTCAGGGGAAACCCAAGAGTAAGAGCCCTGAGCAACTACGGGGACGATTGGTGGGTTACCACCAAAGTCACGAGGGGTGCCTTGAGCCTGAGCAGCGATGCCGTTGTCAGTTTCGACGCTATAATTACAAAATATAGTTGTATGAATGTATAACAAAATATTTGCATTTTATTATTTCAAGACTGCTGATTGTAGGCACTGTTATAAGTCGTGGATCGTATATCCCTTCGTAAAGAACATAAAATGGAACTCTGTCGTATATTTAATCACCACTTATAATTATTTTCATAAACACTAACACGTCAATCACATTCTCTCTGTCACATACACGTCAGTCATGATCATACGTACATCGTATTCTCTAATCACAATTCTTTAAATAAGTGGTTCTATGTATTTTTTATTATGTAATTTGTATCTACTAAATTTACACCTCTAATCTTTATTCTATTTACCAGGACATTTAGTATTTTTCTTTTGCTAAGTTTCTGGCTGGCTCTTTCTGCAAATACACTATTCATTGCTTTATGTAATGCATTGTAATCTTTTTTGTAGGTACTCTAATAAATAAATAAATATAATAAAATTACTTACGCGTAACTGTAAGAACCATCTGGGTTTACGTCATTGTCGTAACGGATGATGTTGGCTGTTTGGTCACTTGAAGATGACCGACTCGGGCTTGCGGGTCGGGGTGGCTGAGGAGGCGGTGATGGTGGTCTGCGTGCAGCACCAGAGAAGAATTGGGCGGAAGCAACGGCCACGAAGGCAGCGAAAATTATCTAATAAAAAATACAATGACATTTTAAAATGATTTTTTGTTATAAAACTAATTAAATTCCACTAATTACAAAGTTTTAATAAAAAAAAGCACCAGGAAATGTTTCTCAATACGGATATTAAGACACAATTGGGTCATACTTAAATAATGTCGCTGAATGTTAAATAATGATGTATTTTTTATGATTGCAAAAAATCTGCACTCTACTCACCACAAACTTCATTTTTACAAGAGCAGATCTATTTGATGACTGATACCACACTTTGAATTCATATTTACTTTTATACCGTTGCTCCGAGCATTTTTACATAACCACGACATTGATATTGTCATGTATTTGCATTTATTTAGTAATTAATTAGGCTGCGACATTTAGTATTAGAAACGCATCTTGTGATTAAATTTTAAATGTCTAATAATTGTCTAAACCGAAATGATAAAATTTCACACAATTGTTCTAAAGAGTGAGCAGAGTAGTAATTGATTATACGACAATATCGACTCCCATACCATAATGGAATTAATTACCATAAACTATATCAATCATCACAGATTGGTAGACAGTATCATTTTGTTGAAAGAACGCTAAGCTGCTTGTTGGCTCATGAACAATGCGAAAACGTTTTTATTTAATTTAAAAGAGTTTCCTAAATTTCTCACGTTCTCTTCCAATACACTGGACTTCAGTATACTATACTTTACTACAGATCCAGTGTACATATTTCGAGTTGGGCTGAGATATACGAGTATTTTTTTATATTCATTCCCTCTAACCTCAAACCTAGGCTATAAATCATGTTCATATAACATTTACCTGTAGAAAATAGAAGCCATTGCATCTATTTATAAAAAAATATATAAATAAGTTATTAGTAGAGGATTTTTTTTAATATCTCCAATTTTAATGTTCTCCAATTTTATTTAATACTTGTTGCCGAAAACAACCTTTCTAATATTTTTTTATTGTATTTTATACTAGATGTACGCGCGACTTCGTCCGCGTAAAAATAGTGACCTTGACCAAATAATTAAAAGAATATTTAGTAATATGACTCAATAAAAGCATAATAAAAAATATTTTTACTAGCTTCAAAAATGACTAATTTGCATACAGAATTCCATACAACTCAGTCAAGAGCCTAAAAAATAAGTTTCAAGTTTTTAGCTTTGAAAATGAATATACTTCCATACAATCTTTCATCTTCCTTTCAATCCCCTACAACCCTTTTTCTTTATTAATAATTTATCAACAGACTAAAAAATAAGTTTCAAGCTTCTAGCTTTAAAAATTACGATATTTCCATACAATGCTTTAAAATGACGATACTTTCTTAGACCCATTAATTCCCTTTTATAACCCCTTTTTGCATTAAAATGTAACCTATGTCCTTTTTCGGGGTCTAGACTATCTGTGTACCAAATTTCATTTAAATCAGTTCAGTAGTTTTGGCTTGAAAGCGAGACAGGCAGGCAGAGTTTCTTTTGCAATAATATTAGTAAGAATTTTGAATATTTTATGGATATTTACAAATACTATCTACCTAATTCAATATTTTTTTTATGGTAAGCAGAATAGTTACCATATAAAAAATAGTTATGGAATTACTTGAAAGTGATTACTGTCAACAGTATATGATGGCCTCGGTAGTATATCACACTGCACACACTGCTTTCCTGCTTTATTTCCGATGGTGGAGGCTTCAATTTTCCGCATTTTGTAGTTGAAAAAAATGTAGTCATAAGAACGAGTATTGTTCTGGGCGTTTGCTAAGTATATTTTTTTCAATGGATGACAAGAAATGCTGCAACCGCCTGTGCTAATAGTTTACTCTGGCAAGGCACCAGTGGAGGATTATAACATGAACGTCAATTTATAAGATGAAATTAGGTCAGGTCAGTTAACCCATCATGATAAATTCACCAGGAATTTATCGGGTTACCTAGGAAAACTGCGAGGAAGTCAACCTGACATGATACATTATTAGTTACCCCATTGTCAATTATCCACATTACTAACAACACCCGTCCTCCTTACTAAGTATATTATGTATTTACAGAAAAACTATATATTACTTTGCTTAGTTTGGAACTAGGCGGCGCTGAATTGTTATTACTATAAATTATATCGCATAATACATGGATATGGTATTCAAGTGACGCCTACGGTGCCGGTCTTATACAATGTAGTTCCTGAGGAATAAGAAGACTGTACGCATATGTATTTAAATTTTACTCTAAAATCTCACCCTTTAAACATTTTCATAAGAAATGGAAGTTACTCCTACAGAGTCACTGTATATGTTGAAATTAGTGTAGAAATTATTTTAGTATTTCGTCATGTATTTTTTATAATTATATCCCATCACCAAGACGGCACTTGGTATACAGCCCATTCGTATGAATATTTAATTAAAGTAATATATAATATAGAGAAAATATTTAAGTGTATATGTTTGTAATGTAGAAAATCAGAAAAAGCTTGACTCATTTAAACTTTTTTTTTCACTTTCATAAATGTATAATTTATCAAAGAGCTACTTGCGGTAAAAGAGCTACTTTGATAAATTATACATTTATGAAAGTGAAAAAAAATGTTTAAATCAGTCAAGCTTTTTCTGATTTTCTACATTACAAACATATACACTTAAATATTTTCTCTCTATTATATATTACTCTACAAATATACTTTGTTCTTGGTGTTCTCTGAATTAGTATATTAATTCCAAAGTCAACTATCGTCAAAACAGTTTTATTAAAAAGGATGTTTGTTCCAGTATCTACATCAAAATCTAATGAAATTGGTGAACACGGTAGTGGTACAAGGTGAACTACTAGTATGTTTAAATAAAGCCACTCAGAAGATCTAGCTCTCAACCATACACGTGTATGTCGTATGCGATGCTCGACATAGTCTCTTAAGTGAGTCTAGACCCAGGTAGTCACTACTTGGGAAATTGGGAGTTTCCTTTTCTATAATTTCATAATGTATGCAGTTTAGTTACCAGAGAATATGTGAGAGTCATAATACATATATAGGCCTTGGTGGTATAGCGGTTTAAAACACCGCTTTTCTACAGATGGTCACTGATTCTATTTTTCTCATTATATACGATACTATTTATATTCACGAGAATGATTGTTTATAGCGGTTTGAGTATTTTCTATGTATATTATGTACGTATTTACAAAAAAATCTATTTATGTCAGTTGTCTAATGCCCATAACAGAACCTCTACTTGTCATAGGATAAGATAGCATTGTGTGAATTATCCAAGGATATTATTATTTTATTGGTAGCAAATTTTTGATACTAGGATTAGATGTTAACTAAACTTAAGTTGTATTTTTTTTTGTAATCGAAATAAGCAGAAGGTTTTTTTATTAGATTTAAAAATTATATTTTACACGAAGTTTTTGCATGTAATTGTTATGTCATAGAATGTGGTATGTAGTCTAACATAGTCAGACCATCACCTATATAAATTACGGAATCACAATCAGATGGCACCATTGACAACATTCAGATGTTGCCAATCCAGACGACTAAGATGTCATCTCTTTATCTTTTATTTCCCTGCCTTATCCTTTTAACCAAAACACAGCTTACAAATCAAGTTGAGATTTGTTTAAAATAGTGTGTTCAGTATTTTTGTACCTTGGAGGATTCGTTCAAAATATTTACCAAGAGACAAACATACATAAAGATTCTATCCACGAGTATATAGTAAATAATTGAAAAAAATATACATATGAAAAATAATTTTTATTTTTATTACGAACTTTGTAATTATTATTTATAATTAGTACTTTAACAATTTAATAAAAACAAATATTATTTTTATAACTTTGTAACTAATTATAATTAGCAATACTGGAGGAAATATTTAATATATAAAATGAACTTTTGGTAAGCGATAGTCACAGGCTCACTGACTTCATCGGAGTTGAAGTCATTTGCTGTACGGTAATTATATTGGTAACCGTCAGTATCTACTTGATAAAATCAAAGAATCCTGTAGCGTCATTATAGCTTCTTTATTATTGTCTAGTATACAAACTATATTGAAGTGTAATATATAAAGTTTGGTGTCTAACATTAATACATGCAACATTCATTATGACTAATATTCATTAACAACAATAAATTCTTTATTGTTGCTTAAAAATATTACTTATACAAATTACAATAAAAAATATAATTTTACAACTGTAATAGATCTACTATTCCTTGTCGGAATTAGAAACCCAAATCTTAAATAAAATAAAACATCACTAAATTTTAATATATATTAATTCCGATATAACTAATAACAGTGGATAAAATATTTAAAAATAATAATTATACTCGAGGTATTTGCGGTAAATGAGCACCACTAGGATGGAAACCATTTTCATCAGCTGTATAATCTACTCTGTATGTAACACCGTCGTCACCTACATATTCGTAGAATCCACTGGCTCTAATTCCTGGACCAGAAGCGGTAGACTGAAGCTTACCAGCTTCTTCAGCGTTGATACCATTATCAGTCTGATAATAGTACTGGTATCCATCAATGTCTAGTTGACTATCCTGTTTAAGGATCCTTGCGTTCTGCTCGTTACTTTGTGACCTAACATAAGAAGCTTGAAGCGGCCTGGCATACGAACTTTCTTGTTGATAATAAGATGGAGGTGCAGCAGTTACCGCCACTGATGGATAAGCAGCAGCGTTTTGACTGTAACTGAAAAAAAATTTTAATTGATGAATAAAGGATTTTTTATCTATCTAATTATCGTTTTTATCAATTCAGAATTTAGCATGATGATCACTCACTCACACAGTACATATTATGCCACAAAAGGGAATCTTGTTAGTATTTCACGGAAATAATACGTAAGTAACTATATTGGTCCATTGCTAAAAAGGATGGCAAAAATCTATTCTGTGGTGGTAAAATATAAAAAAGTAGGTAACATTATATATGGATTAGTTTTTCCACAATTTCATAATTCTGGAGTTACATAATAAAGAAGCAAAAAATACTGTAATTAAATATCAAATATATCATTGATATTCAATGAGGCTATTTCTAAATAAAACTTTATCTAATACTAATTTCAAACCATACCTGGATTGTGATCTCCCGTATAAGTTGTTATAATTTACTCCACTGGCATAGTTGTATCTATTGTCGTTTCGATTACTGTAGGATCCCGAGTATTGTCCCTCAGCGCTTGGCCGGTACCGACCGTCATCACCACCGTAACTGCCCGGACGGTATCTTCCGTCATCTTGAGCATTACTGGTAACAACACCAAACACCAACACAGCGAACTGCACAAACAAATACTTCACTGTACACTTGTCTATAAGAGAATCCATTTGTAATTTCTTGTTGTACTTACCACGTAGATCTTCATTATTTCTGAGGTTCGTTAGAATAAAAAAAACTGAATGATAGTCTCTGACACTAGTCGTATCTTTTATACAACAGTTAAAACGGAATAGAAATAATTATTGCAAAACTCGAGCAGATAAACTCTAGAAATGTAAATTTTATTTGTTAAATCTACATTCGATGCAATATATGGATTTGTGGCATATCAAAACACTGACCGCACCCAAATCAGAAATCAGATCACCCAATAACAAAAGCTATTATTATCTGTCCTCTAACCGTGTACATGTTAGAAGACACCTACGTTAACTTAATTCCGTAACATTTGAATTCAATTCACATAATTTTACATCATAACCCTGAATTAAAATACTATAATTGAATATTATGTGTGTGTGTATTATGTAAAACATCCGTATAAAATATTTTTTTTCAGGAGCACAAGCTCGTTTACGTTAATGTTTTCAAATATGTCAAATATGGGTCAATATACCTATAAGCATAGAAAGACTAATAAATAATGGAAAATATAGTATACTGACTAAGCATAAGAAAAATACTCCCCAAACATCATCAAATAACATCCGTATGAAATAATTTTGAATGTTTTTCAGGACCACAAGCTCATTTCCGTTAACACTTTCAAATATGTTAAATATTGGTCAATAATAATAATAATAATATATACGTATAAAAAGACTGAGAAATAATGAAAAATATATATCCTACTATATTTTTCATTATTTCTCAGTATTTGGGGCTTATTTTTCTTATACTTAGTCTATGACTGAGCATAAGAAAAATAAGCCCCAAATGCTATTGTGGCGTATTTTTCTCAGTGTTCTTAAAATTCAGAAATAATACATTTTGTGATAATAAATAATTATCAATACGCCACATACAATCGTAGTAAGTAGCGGTGGTGGTGGTGGTTCAATATCAAATAGTTTATTATCATATGATAACAATAGGTAGGAATCCACAAATGTACATGCTTAACAAATCGGGTTATCTCTAGTAATAAACGAATTCAACTCTTTACTTGTACTCATATGTCCTACTTATTAGCCAAGTTTATTATGAGTACCTATGAACTCATAACAATGTGTAAATATAGTATAACTTCACTGTGTATCGGCTAATTTTAGTAGTAAATTTTTAATTATTGGATTTTCACACATTGGATTTTTATTTGTACAAAAAAAATATAAAACATTTTCGTTACTAAAGTTATTATAACCGCACATAGTGAGTTTACAAAAACTGTAAAATATGGATCCTTATTACATTAAATTTTATATATAATTTAATATTTTACTTCTACATAATTTTCTCAATACAAATGCCTTATGTATCCATATATTATGTATAATTATTGTTTTAATTTAGAATGCATGAATAATATTTAGTCTAAATTGAAATTTGCTTAATATATTCTCACTAATGGAGTAAATTTTGTATTCGTACAATAATATCACATTTAGCAAGATCTTACTCAACTTATTAGTTCTTTTTGTTTAGATTTTGATATGTTTTACTAATATTATTCATGTGAATGTTATGAATTATAGGATTGTGCGTAATAAAGACCCAAATATACGGATCTTTATTACTAAATAATATAAAAATGACTAATAGTATTATGTGTAAATCGGTACCTACTTACTCGAGTTTTTTCTGAACTTGTGTTGTTACATTACCTACCTAAAATAGGTTAGATTTGCTATGTAATTTTTAGTAATTATGTAGTATACTAGTTCTCTCTTTGTCTCCTCTTTTTAGTGAAAGATAAGCTATGTTCATCCTAACGTATAACTTCACGTATAACATTAGTATGGATGTATAAATAGGTAAGTATACATCACTATATATATCGTCATTAACGTAATTACCTATTTTCTTTTAAAAGCTGGGTATGGAACTCTTCCTACAAAGAGCCTCAAGTTGAATAGATTAGGAATAATATGTAATTAAGAAAGAGTGTTAATTTATAATATATCAACATTTCCTACAATTGCATTGATGTATTTGTATTATTTCTCTAATAAGTCTTTACAATATTTTCGGAACAAGTGAAAAATATCAAGGAATCTTATCACCACCTACATATTCCGTTATAAAAGTCCACCAAATGCATACAACACCATATATAATACCATAAAATATATATTACGCAAGTGAGGATTTTATTGCAGTCAACCGGATTAATGCACTTACAAAGAGACTCCTACACAGGAGGCGGATTTGTGTGTACCTTTTGGAAACCCCAGGTAAAACCATAAAACCTAAATTATATGTTGATGTCAAATTAATAAAACAATAAAACCTGCAATATAATCATAATATGAATGTAATGTAGATAATAATATAATATTACAGTGTATTATCAGGTAAATTAATATTATATAGTATATACCTGAATTATTTTATAAGTAACAATCATCCTGCACTTATTTCGCAGAGTATATGTGACAGATATCATGTAACTCTGTAACCCATTTTCATATAATATAAAGTTACCGGAAGAGATTCTTTAAATGACATCGAAAATTTTACAAAAATCTATTGTGTGATTGATAAAAAATTAGCGGACAAACAAACAAGCCAATATAAAGATATTATTTAAGAATATACTAGCTATACGGATGTTCAAGGATCATACATGTAAACCTTCCTCTTGAATCACTGTATCTATTACCACTATTACTAAAAACTGCATTAAAATCCATTTAAAAATTTAAGCAAACAGACAGCAAAAGCGACTTCATTTTATACTATGTAAAATTGTCAAGAATCGTAACAATACGATTAATATTTTTTACGGTTGTTACATACACTAATAAATCTCTTGCACAAACTTCAACTACATAACTAAATAAACATATGATCAAATCTAGGAAATACGTATATAATTTTTTGACATGATTCTTTATAAATCATATAACTAGCATTTAGCGAGGTTTTTAAAAGTACCCTCAAGCTATCTAAGAGTAAAGTTTTGAAAAGAGTTTATAATTTATTAACTTTATGACGGCATCGGTGCTCTAGCGGTTTAACACACTGCCTTACTTACATTGGTCGCAGTATTTATGAAAAAAAAAATCTGTGTATTTGTATCAGTTATTTAGTACCCATAAGACAAGCCTTAGCTAGATTAACTTGGGTCTAGATGCCCTGTGTGAATTGTCCTGAGATTATTAATATTAGCTTTCTCACTGCTAAAGTCAATCTGCTTATAGTAAACATATTGCAACATAAATTATTTGACAATATCCCTTATATAATTAAATGTATATCTAACGTAAAAATTTCAAAAGTCAAATGTATTCGCAATGAAAACTCAATAATAAAATTTGCTATAGTGTGTTATATTATAAATTAAATAAAATTATTGTTTGTTTTAATATAATTAAGGAATAGGGATTTATTTATTGAATTGGTTCATCCACAATTCGTATAAATATCTCGTATTGAAATTTGATATTACTTTTATAAAGAGCGTCGGCAAATTGAGTAACGTTTTTCAGAATTTTTGTACCTCTGAAACTATAAAAATACCCAGGTTTGTTCTCATTTTCGGAGAACATGTGAGGATTGTACCTGTAAATATAAAAGACATATATTGAAATAAAATTTATCTTTTTTATTAATCATACAACTGTTTAAGTTTGCTAAAATAATCTATTTAATTGGCAACATCATGAGCCTACTAGACATCTCTTAAGGCAAGTCATTCCATCTAGCTGCTGATTATCCACTACATCTTATCTAAGCGCTGTACGCCTATTCTAGAATAAATCTAATCAAATAATATCGATAATGTTTTGATCCCTTAGCGAATTTAGAAGCATAGGTCGCTGCGAGACTATGTATTTGTGGTCTAGTTATATCATAAAGGTAGTTTCGATCCTGGTAGTGCATTCAAATGCGTTGCGGTATATAATCTATAAATATAAATCCTCATAAAATATTAGAGAATCCACGCATCCTATGTACATTACCGGCTGCAAGTATCAAGACTTCAGTTTAGTATTTAGTATTTACGGTATTTTAAATTTTCGGCCTCACATTACAATTATAGATTGAAGTATATCTAATGCATAATGATTAATTATAGCAACAATAATAATAACTTCTATACCTGCTTGAAGAGCAAACATACACATTTACTACGTTCTTTGAACAACTACCTCTAAAACATATTCGCAATGGTTATTTTTGCCTTGTCGTTTTTAATCTTAATTTTTTTTCACATCTGTATTATTATAATAATCCGTAACTAACCTTATATTAAAAAACATAAAATCACCAGCTGACATATCAATATATGTAAGTTATAGCCTATTGTTATTTACTAAAAATTAAAACAATACTCACTCAATTTTGTATTCATCATTCTTTCGTTTAGTATCCAAATATTGACATTTAACAGCACTGTCTTTACCAAAAATAGTCTTCAAATAATGATTTACACTTCCTTCTGGAGTTTCACCGTAGAGGTTATCGAATGAGATATATTTATCTATTAGTGCTTTTATTATTCTGTGAAGATAAGGATATCTTTCAGCATATATTTTGCGCCCAATATATTCTATTTTGCCGGGTCTGTCCGGACCGTCTGGACCATCAGGACCATTTCCTCCAAAACCTCCATTACCTCCAAAGCCCCCATTACCACCAGTTCCACCATCAGGGCCTACTATATGAATATAAGGGTAATCAGGATACAATCCTTGTTTATAAACATATGTGTATTTTCCTTCATCGCCAGGTATATATTTTCCTTCACTTAATGGTCTATAATATTTTCCATCATCATTACCATATTTCTTAGGATAATATTTTCCATCGTCAAATGATGAACATTGTATTCCAGCAAATAATATCAATGGTGCTATCTGAAATATAAATTTAATTGAATCAAACCTTGGTTAGATTCAGTGAAAATAAGCTAATCTGGGATAGGTACAGAGAATATTTCATCCAAAATATAGGCAAAAATAGAAAGTACTAATAGAAGATAGTTGAGAGCGATTTTGAAATGCTGAAAATTTTCTACTTGTATTTCAATATTGACTCATGTCCTAATTAGAATAATTCCTATTATTGAAAGTATTGGATTTCTTACACAAAAGAATTACAACGAATTATTAACCATTAGTATTTTTTTCAATTATCCATATTTTAAAGATAGGTATTGCGACCACTCCAAAATAAATGTTTTATTTTACAGTGGTCGCAATACCTTCAAGTATTATTTTGGTTTAAAATTACATTTTGGGATATTTTAATACGTTATAGCCAAAAAAATCTCAGTCTTTGTTATCACCCTGCCCTAAAAGGTTTATTGAACCTGAAAGGTTTATTCACATCGTGACCTTTGGTTTAATATAAAATTCCACGAGTGCTATCTTGCATAATGAGATCTCTATAGCATGGTAAACGATACGATCAACGTCATGATTATCACTGTATAGAATTTTATAGTAATGTCACATAAAAGGAACAGGAATATATAACAAATTACGTTTTGGTTTACAATAAATTCACAAAATAAATCTAATTGTAAATAAGCAATTATAAAATATAACGTAACGAACGTAAGAATTTCTAGATTCGTTTCTTACTACCAAAAGAACAATTATAATATTATACTATTGTTCGCATAATAAAATATAATTGAAAGTATAAAAATGATTTTTTACAGTTAAATGATTAAAACATTTTTATTCAACTAAGGTTACACATTACATTACACATTGCTTCTTGATTAGTCTAATCTACAGCCATCGCGTGATCGGCACGTACCCAACATTGCTGGCTGCATTGCAGCTTGCCCACCATTCATTTTATGTTATGTTGACTTTATATTATATATTTTTTAATTTATGCCTAATATATACTATATTACTATTTATTTCGTCTCCTATATTGAGCATAAATTATATATGCAATTTGATATAAATTAAACAGTTAACAATTGTTAAATTGTAAAAATTGTTCAATATAAATATTTATTATAATTAATTTAAATATTCCATCAAATGTTGTATGTTTTTAACGAACATAGGAAATATATATTCATATATTGATACGAAATTGGTCAATGTATAATCATTTTTATCAGATTTCTACGCATTTTTATCATAATATCTATAAATATCCAAGAAAAGCGAAACATAGTTTAATTTCGCCATACCTGGATTTAGCGGAATAAATTAACCTAAGATGAACAATATAATATTAGTTTTTTACATCCTGATTTAATCTTATCATGATTATAACCCAAAAAATTAGTGCTTGTTGGTGGTTTGTATAACTTGTAAATGTAAACTTACAAGGATTATTTGCAACACAAAGTTTCTTGCTCGTTCTTCTTGTGATCTGAATATAAACAAATTGTTATGACTATTCAAAAGTGCTTAAATTAAGTTTATTTGAATAAATGATTTTCTATTTCTATTTCTATTTCTATTTCTAAACTTCTGAATATAAACCTACTAAAAATAATCAAACTTAAATTTGCAGTCCATAAATTTTTATAGTTATAGACAGTACATAATTTACTTTCTGTAATAGTAAAATTACTTACAAAGTTCACAACTTGCATGTTGGTATTATTGACATCCAGTTTTTATTTCTTCAAATACAATATCTGCAAATATATGAAATTACATCAAACACGTTTTTTTCATAAGAGCAGTATGTATCCGTCAAAATCATCATATTCTCCATTGACATTTAATTAACATTTAGATGATGAATAAATTTTAGACATACCAAAAGTGGAACAGAATCCTTAAATCAAGGTGTGACGAGGTCAAGCAGAAGAATTAACATACTTTATATGTTCGTTTATTATTAATACAGATATAGCGAAAATACAGCACTATTTCACTGAGATAAGAATATTTCACTGAGAGGGCAACCAGTGGAGTAAGTTCGAGACGACTGACTTGTACGAGGGTCGTAATTCTCTTAGGAATGCACGCAGATTCACTTCAGAATGTCGATTTGCATAAAACAAAAATGAACTTTGAATTGCAACAAAATAAGTAGGCGTACGCATTCCGACCACTTTTGTTTATTTATCTTTATATTGAAACCATATAAAAATAACAGAGAAGGATCTCTGGGATCAATAAATATTATAAAACATTTGTACTATAATCTCAGGACAATTCCCACAGCGCCATCTATACCCAAGTTAAGCTAGTTAAAGCTTGTGTTATGGGTACTAGATAACTAATACACATACATAGATATTTTTTTTTTGTAAATACATACATATTATACATAGAAAACACCCAGACCGATACAAACAATCATACTCAGGAATACAAAATGTTTGTGCCGTGCGAGGAATCGAACCCACGACTATCGGTCGTAAAGCGGTGTTCTAGACCGCTAGACCACCGAGGTCGTCAAACGTTGTACTATATGGAACAATGGTTAATAATTAAGTAATTTTATTCTCGTTGTAAATTATAATCCTCATTTTTTAATTTCTAATTCTATATAAGTCAATATAGCCTGCGTCTTTCCATAATAATCAATCATATTGTAAAAATAGTATTAGAAAATATTCACTCAATGAAAACAACTTATTATATTTCTTAAAATATTTAGTAGAACAAGCAGTCATTGTAATGGAAAGTAATAACAATTAATTAATGCCTATCGAATGCAATTAAACTATGAGTTGGGTAAGAATTAGAGGTAAACATGTATATTTATTACTAAAAAATCAAAACAACGTTCATTGTTCAATGTTTAATTTATATAATAAAATTAATGATCAAAGTGTAAGTAAATGTCACAGATTTTTCGTAATGCCAGATGTCGCGATGATCGACGTTCATCTGCTACTTGCCATATCGATTATACCAATCATTTTTATTAATGTGGGGACCATGACCCGTCTACTGTTACGTTACACGTACTCTTATCTCACATGCATCGGGACGAATCCTACGAAGTTATGTAATGACATCGTCGTCATCATGGTAACTCGACATATTAAAATTATTATATACTATTGTAGTAGAGAACTCACTACATTTAACAATAACGCAGAGATATCATAATACTTATTCTGAATGCATTAATGATGTAGTTGTTAATTCTATTAATAAAATATAAATATTTTTACTTCTAATATAGCAACAACGTTTTATCTATCATGGAGCCATAGGGCAACAATGGAATAACTATAAGCAAGTAGCTACATACGAGTATATATATTTGACAGAACTTTGTTCTAAATTAGGTATATACCTAATTAAGAAAAAAGTCATCTCAGAACTATATATTAATATTCTATCAATCTTCGTGTTATAATGTGAGATATAAATAATATTTTTGAAATAATATATTCTCGTTATTTACATAACTTAATTGTACTACTACGAACATAAAATTAAAAAGCTTAAAAAGTATAATATAATAACTAAAATATATTATTAAAAGGAGTCCCTTTAGGCAAAGTTCCAAAGATACTGGCAGCGTTCCCTCTTTGAGTGGCTAGACTAATTCTTTGTCCGAGGTAGCTGCCAGCTCTTGGATCTTCTGTGATGTCGACTAACCTTTTCGTTATTTCTTTGAATAGTCTTATAGCGCTAGGACCCCACGGACCAAGGATCTCGACACCAAATGGGACAAAATCATATTCGGAGCCTAGACCCCTGTATTTACATGCTTTGGCTTTTTCGCACCAGCTCTGTTGTTGGTTCCATGTAGATGGGATGGATCCAGCATGTCTGAACAGGTTGCATCCCACAATAATATGTTAGACTATTATTACAAAATATACAATAAACAATTTACTATTCGTTGACCTATCTGCTAAGCAACAAGAGGCAACAAGTATTTCCATTATTATTTAGCATAACGCGATTTAATATATAACTCGCCAAATAAATCTACATAAAGGTGATATTAATAACGAGTTGTCAGTTGGAAATATTTAGTTACGCTATCAGTAATGTCACGAGTAAGGCGCGTCCTTGCTTTGCATAGTCTGAAGCCACCAACATCCTGAATATATTTATCAATAAATTATAACAACCTTGGATCTAAAAATTAACAACGAAATAAACAAAACAACTCATTGTTATTTTTAAACCTATGTAACTAAATAAATTTATTTAATGTACTCAAAGAATAGATACGGAACTACAATAAGAACAAACAATATGACCTTTTTATTTTTTTATTGGAACATGTTATTAATATTATTATAAAAGAATAAATTTACTAGATGACCCATCGGAATACGGCATATATGTATATAGCAAAATAAAGTCCGTTTATTTTGCTATATACAAAAATTTTGTGTATACAATTTATTGAAATCCCCTTACTGCTCTCATTTGTCTCTTTACAGATATAAATTATAATAAATATAATGACATAATTGAGAGTAAAATAAGTTCCTATTTTGCCATTAATTTATATAGAGTTATTTCTTATACAAATTTCACTATTCTTTACCTTTAGTTTTATCATTTGCTAAGCTTAGTCTTCAGAAATGAGGATATATTTGGGATAAACTTAACGATTGCCTCGAGCATTACAACATAATCTAGATATGGATCCAAAAGTGCGATTTGGTCCAATATTAGTATTCTAAAGGTAAAGATTTAGATTTTGTCAAGTTTCGAATAACGAATTGGTTATTCATATATATAACTTGTAACACCTATTATTAGACTTTTAAATATAAAAATAGAACTATATACCAATGTAATTAGATTTTTTTCTATGCTCTCTTTATATATATATTTATAAATGGGTTTTACACTCTGCCTTATATAAAATATTTTTAAGTTTCTCGATTTCCCACCTCTTTGTGTACTTAGATAAATAAAATACCAGTATTATGGAATATGAAGCTTTTCAGTATCTTTTATTAATTACGACTAATAAAATAATAATAGTAGATCGGGAAGAATTTTATTACAACAGATAAACTTATCATTATAGGCAAGATTAAAGCGTATATTTCGAACTAGATTTAACGAGGTATGTGAGCTCCAACGGGAACGAATCCATTTTCGTCAGCGGTGTAATCCACTCTATAGGTTACACCATCGGGGCCTACGTACTCATAGAATCCCTTGGCTCGGACACCATCATTTTCGCTATCGATCCTCTCGACCTTGCCGTTCTCTTCAGCCAGGATCTTGTTTTCAGTTTCGTACAAGTAGTGATAACCATCAGGAAGTACGTCTTCTTCTTTACGGATGATGCCGTATTTGTAATCGTAGCTACCGCCAGAGGATACCGATGATGATGAAGCTCCGCTCAAACCACTGTAACCACTCACTCCGGCTCTGGCTCCAGCACTTCCTGCACCTGCGGCACCACCAGCACCGAACAATGACGACGCTGATGCGGCGGCGACTCCAACAGTTTTACCAGCACGCCCAGCAGATCCAGCACCTCCTCTGTGAAATTTTATTGTTACATTTCAATAGACAATTATTGACAATTACATATTATTTTACATTAATACTACAATATTTTTGCTTGTTGATACTTTGAATTATAGAGTAAATTCTCTGAAATAAATTTGTTTACTTTATAAATTAACGTTTTTTTTTAAGATAATGAATAAATTTAATTCTATTACGTCGACTAAAAATAGTGTCTAACTCATGGACTTTAAAACATATATTATTTATTTCTAGTGAAAACATTATTATATTTATTATTCTTGTGCGTCTAGTATCTAATAATACACTTTACCTTTACCAGTCAAAACAAAATTAAATAAAATCAAAACAAATTTACTTCATTATATCGCTATTATATAGAAACTATTAAATTATTAATAAATAAATCAAATTGCCAAAGGCTCGCCAGCACGTATTCTCTTATGTTTTTTATGATAACTTCAATCTATAAACTAAACGAATATGTACTAAATACTATAAGAATATTCTGCGAATATTTAACAATAGTCTACAGACGGTTGTAAAAACAGTCTGAGATAGTATTACGATGAAACTCCTAGGATTAATAAATAATAATAAAATCCATGTGCGAAAAGCATCCATCCAAAGTGTATGATACTAGAAAGTGTTAATCTACGAGTATTATGATTGTAATGTGTTACTTACACGTAGGGGTTGGCTTGGTGTACGTATGCACCTCCGGGACCGCCGGCATCGCTGGAGCCAGAGTAGTAACCACCACCTGCGCCGCGGTCGCCGCGGTCTCCGCTGTAACCATTGAGAAAGTCCATATAGTTCATTATACATGTAAACTGACTAATTATAATTATGATGAAAATAATTATTTATAGTGTACATATAAGACAAAATTCGGGATTAACTTATATAATAATAATATATTATTAGCTTATTGTGAATTTAAATACTCTTGTATAGGAAGGGGTGGCCGCCCTTCGCCGGCGGCTCGGTTTGTGATCTGAACGTAAAATAGTCTAAAGTAAACATATATATAAAACATCCGTAACCGTACCGTAAACCGTACTCATGAATACAAATGTTTGTACCGTGCGAGGAATCAAACCCGCGACCATCGAAGTAACGCATTGTACTGAACTGCTCGACCACCGAGGCCGTCACTTAATATTTATGACATACCTAAATATTTTTTGTGGAAAGTCCTAGGTATAGTTTGCTCTAATATATTGATCGGCGTCCTAAGTTCCTTCAAAAAATATGTGCCGTGCCATATTCGCTCGACTTGGTCAGGTTAAACTATACATATATGCATATAACTTAACCCTAGGAGTAGTATTTGAAATAGTCTTTGAAACTTATGGACGAAAGCTAACTAGAATAGCATCAGTGCTAACACTTATCTACATATACCTATATAGATGTACATCCTGCATATTGTTACATTTATTTCCATGAGGATAAGAAATCTTTCACATAAGGGACACATAGGGACTTAGCCATCCATAGAGTGACAGCGCACGGGGATTATGTGCACTTATCAAGGAAGTTATATTCAGTACTACACTTTTTCCTTAGACATACATCATTAGATGAAAATATTTCAGTTATTGACAGCATTTAGACTTCTTTAACTTTCAGTTCCACACTTTATTCTCTCTCACTCACAGTAGGCTAAACTGCTAGACCATTGAGGCCATCATTATTAGTAATAATATATAATTAAAATCTTTTCTTACTTGTAAGCCCCAGAATTGTCAGGTACGTAGCGGCCGGACTGGTCACGGCTGGGATCGTACCGACCTGAGTTGTCGTATGCACCAGAGTTGTACTGCCCTGCGTTATATGCTCCCGAATTGTATTGACCAGCATTGTAGGGAGAGGCTGTAGCAGTTGCTGTAGCGACCACACGCTTAGGGAACCCCCTGAAACTGTTAAGGACATGCGTGAAATAATTGTCTTTATAGCTACTGGACATTATTAATTATCTTTCAAACTTATGACGAAAATTAGCTAGAATAGCATCAATTTCTTATTAAAAAAAGAAGTTCAGTATGCATCATGACACAATTACTATGGCAATTGGTAGTTCATTATTATTAAATTAAGGTATTGCATAAACAATAAGATAATGTAATGCTTTGTAATAGTAAAAATTCTAATCGTTACAATACAAATACCTATAAGGAATAATAAGAAAATATATAATTACCCGGGGAGTTCTGCACCAAGAGCAACTGTCAGCGACAGACAAAGTACCTGAAAAGAAATTCATATATTATTACATAAATTTTTCAAGATTATCAATTTATTTCTATATATTAGTTATTTAACTATATAACATGTATATTTATAAATACAAAATAATTTTGATTGATAATAATAAAAACGTCAGAATATCCAACATTATAAAAAAAATATCATACAAATTACATCAAGTAGATTGCCTATTTGACAGTTATTAATTCATAACTTATTATAATTGAGTATAATCACATTATTATAGTATATATCATCACTTCATTTCTGTTAGTATTATGTTAATAAAAAACAAACTCTATGCAAATATCACTTCACTGAAACACGTACTTTACGTCACTTACCAAAAACTGACGCATTTTCGTAGTTATCTGTCGCGCTTAACTACCTGAATGTTCTCTTTTAAAGATCAAAGCCTATTTATACCTTTTTTGACTAATTTTATATATTGAATTCTCGCGTCCGCTTCGTCTCTCATTTATAATGTGAAGATCGACGTTTATTCATTAGCCAGAGCTTCTCAATCTTGTTGATTTTGTCATCTAATTATATGTCTATTAGGCCGATACTTAGAATATCATAAGATTTAGAGAACAAAAACAAAAAGCTGTAATATAAGAAATCATACTCATATTGCTTGTAATGTAATTTTTACTTTTCCACATCAGTCAAGCTAATTGAAAATACTCGTTTTTGGTGTCCTGGTATGAAGAATATTGTATTATATTAAACCGATAAGACGTGATATGTAGTGGTATCCTAAAAATGTTTCAAAGTATTGATAATAGCCACTGTATTGGGACCTTGAATAAATTCTTACATTTTTTGTATAATGTAAAGTTTTTATTTAAAATATAAGGAATAAAAAAAATCTATTTTAAATTGTATTAGGACTATCACTGGACACCACTTACTCTGATCTTTCTGGTAGTATAATTATGAATTTCGAAAGGCAATGTCAAGTGAATACATAATTTATCTTTATTATCAAAATCGAGACATATGGATGTATGTTTTGTCTCATTTACTTATAGTCGTCTCATATAGGTACAAAAACATAAAATTTACCAATAACATATATGTACAACTCTATGACAAAATTAAGTTTAACCATTTTTTTCGGCAGCATTGTGTGAAATTAGGTATTCATTCAAAAAATAATTAAGGATGTTTATAATTGTACAAATAAAGTAAGAGAATTTGATAATATTATTATTGTAATGAATTTGAGGCTGGTCATAGATGGTTATTAAACCTATACAATACATTATGCAGCTTTCCTTACACATTATGTTCTATTGAGTATTGGTTATATGATGCTGTTCATGTACTAAGTGGTTTATTATATGTTCATTGTACGCTAAGTACTTCACTCACACAGACAACTTGCAAAGTCTATTTCAGCAAAACATATTCGTTGTCTCGATTACCAAATTGTTTTAATACAGTTTATCATAACATAGTTTGAGAATCGCGTATAGCAGCTAATTAATTATCATTTTCATAGGATGGACCGATTCTTACTTAGTATGTATAATAAATGAACCAACTCATTCATATACACTTAGGAGCAAAAGTATAGTATAATAACATTTATTCGTAATATTTTGTTATGTACCTGAATGTTTCTGAATTACGTTATATAATGTCTATCTATATTGACGTTGAATAAATAGTTATTTTTGTTTTTATTTAGTTATATAAAGTTATCGTCCCACATCTAATTATTACTTATCTTAATTCCACCAACAGACAAGAAAAGAAAAATTCTTGCACAATATATGTTTATTAATGACTTTCAGTCTCCAGTATAGATAACATTATAAATTTCTGTACTAATAGCTGACTTATTACGCCTTGTGCAATTCCCAATGTTTTATAATATTTTATTTTTATCTATTTCTATGATCTTACTTTATTCTATTATAATCATACATATTCAACTTAAACAATTAAATGAGCTGTTTTTTGTACATATTCTTTAGCAGTAAAATAAATTATATTGTATAATATCAGGACACTGACGTATATTGTTGTACACTGAAAGTTACATAATCTTTATTACTTTTTATAAATGATTTAATAAGCTTTTAGATAATATATAAAATATCATAATTAAACTACCTTTATTTTAAATGATAATAATATAATTATCGAATTTCAGTATAAAAACCTTCCTTTCACAATTATCGCTGTTACAATAGTACTAGTTTTTCGTTTAATAACTACATATTTGATAAAACAAATACTATTGAAAATAAATCAGGAGCTCTATACTTTTGGTCACAAGTTTAGTTTAGGATACACAAGAAGGTACATTGTGTCGTATATGTTTACCGGTCACTGTCACCAAGGCCATGTCAATATTTCCCCTATTAACGCTATTTTACTTTAATACTTTTATTATATTGTTAATCGTGATAAAACTGTAAATAAAATATATTGATACTGTTATTTCAAAACCTAACTTTTTTACTTCTACTATTTAAGTAGGTAAGGTTTTTAAAATCCTGGAATTACGGTGAAAAAACCTATAATAGGTGCAGTAGATACCTACAGTGTAATTTAGTGCAGATAATAATGAGCTTTTAGACAACGCTCAACAAGATTACGACTAATATCTTTATTGACAGATTACATTTTATTTAACTTTTTTAATCGATAGTGTATCGTGAATTGAGTCCTAGTTGAAATTGTAAACAAATGGCACAATTACAAAAAGTGTAAAAATATCTGGGTAGATATTAATTACATATGAAGTTATGCTTGATTATCCATCTAAACCGTGCTATTGCGGTTCAAGCCAGACTTTGTGTAAGTACTGCCTTATAGCATGCCTGTGTAGGCTACATTCGTTAACAATAATATCAAAATATTTGCATTTCAATTAATTATAATAATACTTTAAGTAGTTTAGTACAGAACTGATAGAAACTGGAATATAGAAACTGCGAATAATTGCTATATTGTTCAGATGATCGAAATATCATCTGAACAACAAGGCAAGGCGCTACTGTGACATTCTAACGAGATATAAATGCAACTACAAGTCTTCTCTTGATTATGATAATATCTATTTATATTGCACGTAAATTTTACGCTTTATCAGTACTAGTTTAACATGTAAAATGCTAATTTCGGTTCATCAAGAAATGAACATGTTCTCTTTATTACCTATTGCAAACATCGTTAAAAGACAAGTCATAATATGATCATTATATATTATTGTATACCTATTATACGTATATAATGATATGCGTGGGATTGTCCTCAATATTCATGATTTTTATGTCCCTGGAGCCGTATATCTACTAAATTATTAAATGTCAAATTTGAATATTATATCGTGCAAGCCAATACATATTCTTATGTCTATACATTTGGTGTAAAATCTATTTTATTACCAAGGAAATCACTTTTAATACAATGATCAATATATCAATAATAAGTATTGCCGAAACAAAAAAATATTGATCTTACACTTCAACTTTTATATAATACCGAATGAAAAGATAAAAAAATATTTACATAAAACAAAATATAGAATAAGTATAATATATATAATAAATATATAGTAATAAATAAATGTATAATAAAATAGAAACCAGGCGATACCTGTTTGGTTACAGGAAATACACTGAAGTTTTAACAGCATATATTTTTTAATTATGAGTTAACATATTAACTAATCAAAATTGGAAACAATAACCCACAAATAATTTTAAAAAAGGGCACTAATTCCTTGTTTGAATTTTTAAATTTCGATATAGCGTAAATCCGTACGATTATACCATAGCCATTTGATTACCAGCAATACATGATGGCGTACAAAAATATATGCTTACAAAGTACGAAGATCAATCGTCTACTATAGAACCGTTGTAAAAATTTAAATTTTATTTTATTTTATTTTTATAACTAGAAGGAATTTTTATTCTTAATTTTTAATTTGTAACATTAGTTATCAATTCTCTCACAATATAAAGATAATCAGTGCATATACCTACATCATTTGTTTTACTCTTAACTACACTTTTGTCAATCTATTAACTCTAAATTTACCTTTCTCTAAAGAAACACAAGCGTAATATATAAACATTTATTACGCTTTCGTTTCTTTAGAATTGTATAATCTTATACACATACATATTAAACGATTATAAATCTCATTCACATCATATATTTTGTAATCGGACTAATTAACGTAACATCAAATCATAAATCAATTAAAATTTTATAACCCGACTCGTCAAAGGTGAGAATTTATAGTAAATTATAAGTCGTCACTTCAACGTCAATGCTCCCAATATATATATATTAATTTTTATCATTCTATACTTACATAATATTTAAGTCGAATATAGTATTCCAAGTATGTCGTTAAATTGATTCTCTAAGTACACAAGTAAGTAAACATGTAATACCCAGTTGATATTGAAATTTAATTTATCAATCATATACGGTATTCACCGTCTTACTCATATTTTGCTCATTCATTCATTAATTGTAATTAACAAGCGTAAAAAGAACATACAACATCAATTAAATTATTCATTCATAATTATGTTGATCAGTGTTGGTAATTGAGTCATTACGTTTAGAGAACGCTGTACTAAGAATTCATTTATATACTCATTTGTATAGTAAAATAGTAGTAAGTGCTAATGTAAATAAGTACTATACAAATACAACTTAATATATACATACTCAAATTAATTATTTAATCTAAAATGTAATATTAATAAATTCATAAAATTATTTTGTTTTGCATTTACAAGCATTAATATGATGGATTAATTCTTTAGGTGTGCTTATTAAGGCTCTGTATTGGCAAATATAAGTCATAATATTTTTAAATTATCATTTTTTGTAGTTTTATTTTTTTATCATTTATTTGCAGTTATAAATGAAATAATAAATATTTCATTTATATATATTCATTTTATTACATATATTCATTTATATATATTTATATCCTTTTTCATTTGTGCATATCATAACTAGAAAATAAAAGCATTTTATGAAAATTTAACACCAAGGTTATCGTTGTTCTAGTAATATTATAAGTTGGAGGTAGGTATATGAACTAGGAAATTACAAAACGCATTATATACATAATCGACAGTCTCGCCTATTTCGTTGGACAATAGGTTCCAATATGTCTAAATTCAGAGAAGACTACTTCACATAAAATCTTTTATATCTCCTTTAATTTACTTTAAAACCTACCGATACTTTGTTCTTCCCATTACATTATAAAAGTGATGTATTATAAATGTTGCAATGATATATTATTTTGAGTATTATAAATTAATTATGTGATAATTTAACCTATCCATTTACATGGTATGCTCATATT